ATATAGATACATAAAGAAACAAAGGCACGATAGCTGTGTAGTAATCCCGAGGACGATGCGTGTGCTTGTGCCGTTATTGGGTTGTTGTGGTAGTAGTGCACACTGTCCGCTACTTTTATTAGGCGATATGGTCTGTACGTGTGCTACGATGAATTGCCCCACAGCGACAGTGCTTTGTATTGGCACCATGTGGGCCTATACACACTCAGTTGTTGCTTGGTATATTCCGCACGTGAAGCCAGTTTGAGTGGGCATCATACATACAGTGATATGATATATAGGGCATGTGTGCGATTCAGTATCACTCTCTATACAATTAACGTATATATACATATACATATAAATGTATGCACATATATATACAGATATATGAATACGAATGTTTACACATGTTTGCATTTTTCTCATTGTATATATACATTATTCCTTTTGTATGTATACATTTTTCCCATTGTATATATACATTATCCATATTGTATATATACATTTTTCCATTGTTTATATCTATACATTTTTCCCTTGTATATATATATTGTTCCTCTGTGTATATATATACACACACTTGTTCTAGACTGACGTATCGGTATGTGCGCTCAGGTCAACTGCCCACACTGTGGCGGTGAGTTCTGCTGGCGCTGCCTGAACACGTGGACCAAGGGGTCGTGTGGCTACTTCAGTTGTGCAATAAATGGCGACAACGAGGTAGGTATTCTACCTACAAATGAAGCACATGTGTGTGTATGTATATAGGGTATGGATAAACCACATGCATGAATTAGGATGGGCGTACATGTGTTATTTATAACACAAGTAGTGTATGTATTTAGAATACAAATGAACCACACATACAGGTATTATGATGGGTCTATATTTATGTATTCAGGACGCAGATAAATTCCACATGCCTGTATCACGATAAGTGTATATGCATGTATTTAGAATAAAAATACACCACATATACATGACTCATGATGGGTGTATATGTATGAATACTGAGAATGAAGGTGAGTATGTGTACACAGACAATACATACACATTGAGATGTTAATGTAAGGATATATTCCGTACGCGTGTGTGCTGATTTATCCACGTGATACACACACCATGTACTGGGGACAGGATTAGGCCCTACTTGTTGGATGTGCGTATAAGTATGTCGAAGTAAGTATGAGATAGTATCTTTTCATATCCAAGTATTATATAGTACTTGGCTATGGAATTAGGCCCTACTTGTTGGATGTGCGTATAAGTATGTCGAAGTAAGTATGAGATAGTATCTTTTCATATCCAAGTATTATATAGTACTTGGCTATGGAATTAGTACCTACCTGGTTGATATGCGCATAAGTATGTTGAAGTAAGTATGAGATAGTATCTGTTCATGTCCAAGTATTATATAGTACCTATCTATGAAATTAGTACCTACCTGGTGGATATGCGCATCAGAATGTTGAAGTAAGTATTAGATAGTATTTGTTCATGTTCAAGTATCATATAGTACTTGTCTATGAAGTTAGTACCTACCTGGTGGATATGCGCATCAGTATGTTGAAGTAAGTATTAGATAGTATTTGTTCACGTCCAAGTACTGTCTATGTAGGTCGAAGTATCAGACCGTTTAGCTATACTTAGACAATTTCGGTCTAAGTATCGGCACATCTCACAATGTCATTGGTATTGGGCTTCAGATGGATATCGATGACGCCGTTTCTTTGGCAACCGCGACAACCAAGTCCGAAGATAAACCAAGTTTGCGTGTGGTGACGTCTTCGACTGACGCAGTAAAACTCGGCGTCAACGACTCACCGATACTGGCGGTATGCTCATTAACTTATTTTTTTTGTTTGGCCTAGTACGGATGAACCAACTACACTTTTAACCTCTCCCCAAGTGCCCTTCGCTCTTATTGTTACATGGAATGTTGTAATCGTTTGTATATGTATATCACATACTTCTCTCCTATTGTGACACTAAACCCTATTAACAACTACTGCACACCTATCAACCCTAAACCCTAACCCAAACCTCTCAGAAAGCCGAACTAGGTGTTCCAGATATCGCTACTATAAGATTTGGCTCTCGGGGTCATCAAACGGGGGATGGACGCTGAAGCGCCCTGGTTCTCGCCTTAACGATTGTTTTACGAAGAAAAAGAAAACCTGTGCCAAGCAAGACCTTATAAGTTTACTATGAATCACTCAGCGGAACGGATAATTAAATAAACATTGGGCGTGTTCTTAGACTCTACCATGTGCGGTTGCATCATACTGTCGTATACCAATCCACCGAGGGTTGGATCAAAATCTGTGCACCTTTCTTGTAGATCAATCCAATCAGGATGACGCAGAAACAGCTGGATATCTGGCTGTGGGCAGATGTCCTGTAGTTCAGTGCTGTGCCATTGCTACAATAGGACTGATTAGACCTTATCACTCGCTACCATGGCACAAATTACACTCTATAAAAGTTGGTCGCAATGTCCAAGTTTGTTAGAAAATTATTTATAAAAACAAAATAATTAGCTCTAGACGAGTCATTTGCGAGCGGCTTTGTAGTGGGACACCGATTTTCTACCAATGACATTCGTGTGTGATAAAAATACCCAATCGAATCGTATCAAATACTAACTTAAACTCGCAGCAACTCTTACTCAAGAAGACACATCGAATGAATTATTCACCCAATCATCCAAATCCAATGAATTATTCACCCAATCATCCAAATCAAATGAATTATTCACCCAATCATACACATCAAATGAATTATTCACCCAATCATCCAAATCAAATGAATTATTCACCCAATCATCCAAATCAAATGAATTATTCACCCAATCATACACATCAAATGAATTATTCACCCAATCATCCAAATCAAATGAATTATTCACTCAATCATACACATCAAATAAATTATTCACTCAATCATACACATTGGATGAATTATTCACCCAATCATACACATCAAATGAATTATTCACTCAATCATACACATCGGATGACTTGTTCACCCAATAATACACATCGAATGACTTGTTCACCCAATCATCCAAATCAAACGAATTATTCACCCAATCAAATGAACTATTCGCCCAAAAGTACACATCGGATGACTTATTCACCCAAGGACACACATCGAATGACTTGTTCACGTACAATCTTGAAAAATTAAATTTAATCCACAAAATCGCGGATTATAATTTCAATTGCACCCGTTTTTACTGTATTACAAATGCACCGGTATCTAAGCTAAGGGGACTGACTCCCGATGCTTCTACTCGACCTACACTTTAATCGATTATGATTCTGAACCAATGAAAACTCCTAATACTATGAACGAAACGCCCTCAACCAATCAGGTCCGCTCATGACCTCTGCACAATTTTCAGGCCTGTGAAAACGTTCAGAATCAATCACCATGAACCAATCAGATCCGTCCATTTTAACTGCACCGGTTTCTAGGCCAGTAGGACTGAGAATTGATGGTTCCACTCGTCCCATTCGGCGCTGTCCGTCACAAACAGAATGTCCTGATGACAGTCGCCCTCCTGCGCACATATCTCAAAGATTGCTTCTGCGTTGTGGGGACTCTGCCCCCCTAGAGCGGCTAAAAATAGAAAATTTACGATTGGATAAGATTTTCAGTCTAAAACTAAAAAACATAGGCGGGAGCACGATGTCAGAATGCAACAGCACAATGAGACAAAAAGGAGTTTAGCAAATGAAGATGGATATCCGCCGGTAGTGTGGTAGCATCACAATATGTAGAGACAGTATATATATATATATATATGTAGGTATATATAT